TCCCCAACTAAATCAAAAAACAATAAAAAATTAACTGGGGGTTACAAAAAAAAAAGGGTTTTTTTTAAAAAAAAAAAAAAAAAAAAAAGCAAACTGCATTTAAGATAAAAACACTTTTGTCTGTTTTACCCAAAACTCCTCAAATGGCATTTTTTAGTCATCCAGTTGAATTTACTAAAAAATGCTATAATATTGCATTTTATGCAATAAATGTGCCAACTTTTAATCTGATTGTTAGGATAAAAGATTACTAAAATAATTTAGTTACAGCCCTACTAGTAACAAGTCTGGTCATTTTTGCTTCAGTTCTGTAGCCTAAATGGTTGTTTTTGTTTTCAGTACCGTAAATTATCCACCAGAGGGAGACATTACCATTACAGTTGAAGTACAACACGTCAGTCAAGGGGATTAAAAAGGACAAAAAAAGGGCGAGCTTCCACATGAGCACCACAAGTAAAAAACACAATGTTGGAGGGAAAAGGTTTGTGAAGGGAAGAACCCAGGTGTTGTTGGACAGACAGAACGAACTGTGCGACGGATGGAGAGAGACATGGACAAGAAAGACCAGTCAGGATAGCCCACCGGTTACTGTTGTAGGAGGGAATATGGCCGCCACTCACAGCCACACTTTTGTTGTTGTTGGCTAACATTGTTTAGGAGGAGAGGAAGAGAAGTAGATTAATGAGGAAACTGGAAGAAACACTCTACTGCTGCGCTAAGGCAGCAGGAACCCGGTAACCAGTGTGTCTGATTGCTGTTGCAGTACCTGGCCCTGGAAAGTCCAGCTTGGCCCGCCGCAGCTCCGTCATGGACGCCTGCAGCTGCTCGATCACAAAGTCGTCCTCCAGGAAGAAATCTTTGGCTAACGTGACCTGCAGGAACTCCACCAGCTCCTCCATGGACAGCTTCAACAGGTGCTCTACAGCCACACACACACCTGAATTAGCACCTTCACACAGCAGCTGTTAGCTTCGGGCTGCTAGCGGACTCACTTTTGTGCAGTTTGAGGATGGTATAGGACATGGCGGGCAGCACTCGCTCCCCCTCGAGGATGTAGATGTCCCAGATCCGGAGGGTCAGGGTGAAGGGAGTCTGAACACAAACACAACCAGACATTAGAGGCTTCTCTCTGATGGCCAGAGGAGCAGAAAAACTTTGATTCTATAGAGAACCACAATTCATAGTCCTGGGAAATTAGGAATCGATTTAAAAATGTGTTTAAGTTGTACGTTTTAGTCCGTCGTGTTTGTGAATATACTTCATGTCACGTTACCGTAGAAGGTCGTCTCAGACACCGTATAGCAGGAGGACATTGAGGACAGTGTGCACTTCTCAGTAACGAGGCAGTTCAACTTTACATCATAAACACATCATACAGTTGCGAAACCAGTAACAGATGTTACATTTTGTCCAGTACCGTAGTAAAATTAGCAATACAGATCAAATATGTTGATCAATATTAAATGTATTTTGGTTCAAAAGCAACTAAACAGGCTTTTCTAGATTGAAAGGAGCTCAGGAATCAAAGCCACTAGAGAGAAACGCCTGGATGAGTTTCTCTGATGCTGAGAAAAAGCCAGGCAGCTGATGCTGGTAATTTAAGTTACAGAATTTTAAGCCTAATTCTGATTAAATATAAACTGATGGATTTTGATGCTTTTCTGTCTTTTCCTCTCGTCAGTCATAATTTAAACAGAATCTTTAGTCAGTTTGAATAGAAAAACTGGTGTCTGAATTGAATCGATAGACATTTAAAGATTCTCATCTCTACTGACAGTTAGAGCAAAACCAGAACCAATAATCAATCATCCAGAACCTTATTTATAAACTATAAGTTTTCTCTTTTCTCTTGCTCCTGGTTATAATTAAAAAAGATTGATTCCTTCTGTTTCTGTTAATGAGGCGTCTGACTTAATTATGAAAACAATCTTTAGCAGAACATCACTGATAAATGAGTAAAAGTAAACTTGTATGCAAATATAACAAACTGTAATTAAAACGTCATCAGAGCTTCATTAGAAGATCATAATGATGATAATTTATCAATCTCAAGTAAAAGAAATTAAATATTCAGCTGCAGTAAATAAACATGACAGAATAACTTCATGCAGCAACTAATAAACTAAATTAATGCAGTTGTTTCCAGGCAATTATTCACATGCAGTTATATATTTATGATTCGGTATAGGTTGGTAGATTAAATGTAAAAGGCTCTTAAGGTAATCAAGCTGCAGCTTTAATGTATCTGAACATTAATATAACGCATTACTTTTTAAAGCCTGTAATTTACCAGCTTTTACAATGTGAAGTAGAAACAACTGATTATCCTTTTTATTATATTACTAGATAATCCCATCTATACACAGACCCATTAAATGAATTGGATAATAAAAACACATTTATTTCAGGAACTTTATCACAAGCCAGAGGCGCCAAGCCCCGCCTCCTGGTTCAGATTGGTTGTTTCTGATTGGAGGAGACAGGAGCTAAATGTTGTTCATACCAAACTATCATGACTTGGTGTCAATTTCAACAAATATGTAAAAGGTATTGTTTTTTTTTAATAAAAGTTAAATGCTGCAGCTTCAAGTGTTGTGCTTGAATATAGAGATCCATCTAGACTAGTAGTGGAGAAGAAGCAGCAGAAAGCAGAGGTTATATTCTGGACTCACTCTGTCCAGGAAGCACTGGAAGAACCACTTCATGGTGTACAGGCTGGTGAAAACCTCCTGGTTGTCCTGCAGGACCAGTAAAACCAGTTCAGAGCGCTGATGGGTTAACCATCTCTGGTTGTTATGGAGCCGCCGTGTGTCTCACCAAATGCTGCTTCAGTTTGGGCATCATCTTCTTCAGGATCCGGTCGTGGTGCTCCTGGTAGCGCATCAGCTTCGGGAAGCCCGGGATGAAGAACCCTGAGGGCCGAGACACAGCAGGCCGCGTTTTATAACAAACATGTCAATAAATTAGCAGCTCAGCATCTTTGATCACAGTTGGAAACATCTGAGAAGTCCCTCAGCCTCCAGAGATCCAGTGAACTTCTGCGTTTATGTACAGTTATTTCAGCTGGAGTCGGTTTAATTGCTTCCACCCTGCTGGCTGTGCTTTATGAATCCTCACTAACCGGTTCATTAGTCGCTGTTCTAACTTTATAAACTTAAAAATAAACAACTTTAAGAGTTTTTACCGTGCATGGCGTGCTTCTGTCCCGACAGCAGTTTGACCAGAGCCCAGAAAGCGTCTTCCTCGTTCATGTAGATGAGCAGCAGAGCCGTGATCTGACTCATGCCCTGGCAGTACCCGACCTCCTGCAGAGCGACATGAAACCGCTGAATACAGGAAAAACCTGATGAGGTCTGAGTCCAAATCGCAACCAAATTATTTAAATCAGCAGCTGAGAGGAGAACGTGTCCTCACAGAAAACCTTTCAGTGTTATTCAAAGTGTTGGCCGCCAGGGGGCGCTGTGGGAGCCTCAGAAAGTTGGGATGAATAAATGAGAAAAAAAAAATTTATCACATTCATTTTTATATCTAACATTTTTTTTACAATAATTTTTATTTTCTGTTATTCGATATTTTTTTAAATTGCCACCAAAACACTGAGAAATTTTGTGAAAACAAATTGAGATAGAAAGTTGAAAATTTGCTAGAAAATAACTTGAGAAATTATTTCTGTATCTGTCAAGAAAACTTGGAAATTTCTGAGTTTCATCTGTCAAAACATTTTGGCTTTTAAAAACATGTTCTCTAGCTTTTTTCAGATTAATTTTAACATTTATTAGTTTTTTTGTCATAAATTTTTCAGCTTTTCACTCAGAAATTTTCAAGTTTTTTCCAGAAAATTTCAGTTTAAATAGTAATATAGATGTTATATTATATATATAAAATTCATCAAACAAGAAATGGAAAAATGACCAGAGGAACTGCTTAAAAAAAGCTTAGAAACTGTGGGAATAAATGTAAATTTAATGTGATTAATATAATATATTATGTATTTTCTTATAATCAAAAGAGGGAATAATGATAAATAAAGTCACAATATATTCTGTGCTACAGACCTCATATAAAATCATACAGTATGAAGCAACATTTATTCTAAATGAATTATTGAATTGTGAACTAAAAGCATCTAAAAGTTGATGTTTCTTTAGCGTTTTGTTGAACGGCCGTTTCATGGAAAAGTTTAGGAACCCCGGACCTAACCTGTTGAAAAAGTATCTATTGCTAACAATTTTTACACATTAATCTTTTTGTAACAAGTTAAACTTAGATTCGTCAGTAATTTCCCTTTTAGGCCCCTAAAATCTTTGTCCTGATGGTAAAAGCTGAATGCAGAAAGTGAGACTCACCGTGTTGTACATGGAGTAAGCTGTGAGGACATGGAAGAGCGCCTGCTGCCTGGAACAGAATCATCATTTAAATACGTCAGAGTCTTATAATGTGAAACATTTTGGTATTTTAAGGACCAAAATTACAATAATTCATATATGTAACAAAAAATAAGAAAATCAGGGAAAAGAAAGTTTTCCAAAATGTATTTCTTTCAATAAAAAAACTTATGAAACTTTCACAAAAACTGCAGGTGTGTAGAGATACTTCAAAATAAAATTACTTAAGTAAAAGTAAAAAGTACAGCATAGTAAAAATATATTTTTAAAAGATGTTACTCTCGTAGATGTAACTGAGTAAATGTAACTAGCTCCTCCCCCTCTCTGCTGAGTCGGCGCTTACTTGACGTCGTAGCGGGTCATGAACATGATGTGGTCCCGGTAGGTTCTGTTCACGTCCAGGTCGATCTGCCGGACGTCGGGGGACAGCGCTCTGGCCCGGGACTTCAGCTTCTGCACAGCAGCAGAACAAACCGGCAGGTTAAGCTAGCAGAGGCTCTGTGTCTTTAAGCTGCAGCAGCAGGGCCGATGCTTGAAGTGGACCGTCTGCTGTTGCCATAGAAGCAGAGGATGTGAAAGCCAGAATCTGTTCTTATTAAAGGCCGTCTGTCTTTCATGACCTAAAAATGTCCTGAAAGACGAGCTTTGTGTCTCCCACTGTGGACATAATGAGTTTATTACTCACACTCTGGAATCAGGAACAAAAAGACGCAGCTTCTGAATACAGGAGCTTTAATCAAAGCAGATCAGCTGATACGGCTTTTCCTGTTCTGAAAAGTGCGGCATGCTTTAATACTAATTTTTAGAACTTCGTTCCTCTGTACGTTTTTTTAGGGTTCAACAAGTTTGATCAGCTAGACTGGTGTTCAGCTTTCAAAGCCTTTCTAACCCATGAATCTGCAGAATGGCACAATTAAAAAAATTACACAAGTTTGGCCTGCCAGCACAGATGGAAATGTTTAGCTTTTAATTAAGGCTAAATTATTACTAACAAATTAAAATGTTCTTAAAATAGAAAACGTTAGATGCAATTTTTTATAACCAAAGTTTTTACATTTTCTTCGGTTTTATTTTAAACAGAAACAATCCGTTTAGTGACTTTTACTCAACAGCAGTTTGGTACACCAAGATCTGATTTTAATTAATTTATTAAACATGGAGATATTACCGTAACAGCCCAATATTGACTGGAACGTCTCCCCTTTCAGAAACTGCTGGGATTTTTCAGATAGCGCAAAGAATTACGTATTTACGAATTAGTACTGCAGATTTGGCTGCATAGACAGCGCTACGTCTGGGACTTAAAGGGTTAATTTGATCTAAAAAGAGTTTAAATGCTTTGCATCTGCTCCAAAACGTTCACTGTGCTCCTCTCATGACTTCCTGACTGCAGGAAACGAGGGCCGTCCTCCCTGCAGCGCCGCATCGATCTCTGCAGCTAAACTTTCTAATGAGTTTGTAGCAGAACAGAAACAAAAAGTCGAGCCTTTACCTCGTAGAAGTCTTTCTTCTCCTCTTTTATTTTGGGAACGTCGAGCAGCAGGCACCACACCTGCCCTCGGAGCTGCAGAGGAACACCCTTATAGATCCTCCGGACGAGCTGCAGGAGGAAACTAAATGTCTCCATTATGCCTTTAACAAACAATTCTAACTTTATTAAAAAAAAATCTAATCCTCCTAATATAAGACAAAGTCTAAAAAGAATAAAACAATAATATTTGTCCAATATTAACTATGACAACGAACGATTATTTTAGTTATCAATTATTCTGACGGGTAAAAGAAAAACTTCCCAGTCTGCAGATTTTTCATTCAACCACTTAAACATATCAGAAACACCATAAAAGATACAAATAAATAAATAATTCAGTTCTTTTTAAGTAAAAAGTGCCTAAAGTGTAATTGACAGCTTTCCTTTAGTGAACGTTCAATCATTCTGTAACAGGATGCAGCTGAAACATTTTTATCTGGGATTTATTTTTTTGGATTAACCGGCAAAATGTTTTATTTTTTTTTTTGTTTTTAATTTCTGCTCTCTTGTTTTTTTTCTTCACCAAATTGACTTTTTTTTTACTTTTCACTCCAGTAAACGATTCATTAATCACTAAATTATGATTATAATTATGATTAATGCACTTAATCATTTCAGACTTAATTTTAACACATTTACTCTCATCTCTTCTGATCTGCTGCACTTTTCAGTTCATAACGAGTTGGAGCTGAAATAAAAAAACATTAAACTGTTTCTGATAAAAATGAAAATCTTTCACTTTCTATTGATTCCATTCAGAGACCAGTTTTTTATTCAACTGCTTAGAGATTCTGTTTAAATGATCAAATTTAGACAAATCAGTTTATATTGAAACAAAAATAAGTTTCTGAAACTTAACTTTATCAGGATTAGGTTAGCTCAGCTACAACTTTGACGCATTTTAAAATCAAATTTTGAGGATTTTTTTTTATCTATTCCGAATTCCCAGGAATATAAATTATGATTCTTTATAAAATAATTTTATGTCTGCGCCTGTAGTTAATGAACGTTGGCCTCGTTTTTCAGACTCAGATGTGAAACTGTTTGTTTTTATCTGATCTCTGGTTGTGTTGTAATCCAGCTAACATGCTTTTACTGCAGCAGCTCTGATGGTTTGTGATGAGAAAATAACCGGTTAGAGTCGGGAGAAAAGCGGCTGCACTGCTGCAGGCTGACAGCGAGGCGAAGAGAGCATCTGGCATTCGCCAGGAATGATAATCGAGCCCCGCTCAGCATGTCGGCACGTTCTGCTGAGGTGAACCTGCGACCATCTGGCTGGACGAACTCCAGCAGAGACTGGCGTTAAAGCTGCAGGAACAGCAGAGTTCAGTTAGTAATAAACGGCAGACTGGAAACGAGTTTCTGCTCTGATGAGCGACGGCCGTCAGGAAGGGGAGAGACGCAGGAGTTCAGACCAATTAAGATGAAACCTGAAGCAGCCAGAGAGTCGCTACATGTTTGCTCCAATTAATGCTGCGAGCGTCTCAGCAGCTTTTAGAGAAATGCTGATTCACCAAAAATCCACACAAACACATTTAGGATGGTTTCTGCACTGCAAAAACTCACAATGTTACCAAGGATTTGTATCTTAGAGTTCACTCAAGATGCAACAAAACTTTAGTTTCAGCAAAATATAGAAGCTTGGTCAAATAAATCCTTAATACGGATTATTAATTCCAAGACATTTTCCCATGTTAGAAGTGAAATAATCTTCAAGTTAACTTAAATTTAAGGAATGAAATAGTAAGGAATTACTTATTTAAAATAAGCTCCTATATTTTGCTGAAAAGTAACTTGAAGGTCAGTTTTCTTGTTTCGAGTGTACGAAGATGTTTGCATTAGAAATTAGACTAAAATTGTTAAGATTTTGTTTTTTTGCAGTGTGGAAGCTGGAAACCAGAGCAAACTGTCCGATAAACTGATTCTGTTTCTACAAACCGCCACGTCTTCAAATCAGACAGAACTGGTGCTAAACGTTTGTGCCGCAAAAAAATCTAAAGATATTAATAAATGTTTCCAGATGTGTTAAAAATCAGATCAAATTTTGTGTCAATCAATCAGGCCTGTTGCAATAATCAATCACATGATAATTTAAAACTAGATCAATAATTTCCCTTTCCATGATTTATTGTTTTTCTGTTTTTACTAAAAACTGGATAATAGAGTAAATATGTTTATAGAAAGTAAATGTTCATTAGATTTAAAACGTATTGATGTTTGAGAATCTGTTCTTGCTTTATTATTACATGAAATATCAATTTTATATCAATTTTGTTGTAGTTGATGTGGGTGTGAAAAAGATGGCTGGTAACTTCTGGAAACTTTTAAATCTTAAAAATTATAACGGCACAAACAAACTTTTGATTACGCCATATTTCATATGACTTTGTAAATGTGGATTGGTGGGTTGACCTTTGACCTCTGGATATATTTGTGATTTTTCAAATGATAAAATTTTATCAGCACAAACGTTTGACAACTTCTCTCAAGTGTCGCGTTTCCCTGCAAAACGTTTCTGACTCTGCGCCTGCGAGGAGCGGCGGTGATTTCCTGAGGACGAGTGGAAAGTTAATGAGCCGTAAATCAGCTGTGGGTCGTTTCCTCCAGGTCTGCTCTGATGGATGAGAGACAGTCGCAAGTTTCCATGCTAAACAGGGCCGAGGATGGAGCACGCCGCCCCAGGAGTAATGACGCTCAGCTCTCACTCTCCATCAGCCTGTAGCTTTGTCAACCTACATGAATCTGGGCTCTTCCTGATTTTGTTTGGAAAGATTCAGCTTTATGTTTGCGATTATTTTAGGTTAACAGTAAATAATAACTAATAATAAATAAACTGCCTTCTTCAGCATCAATGGCTGCCTAGAAACGTCATGTTGCGCCATCTGGTGGCTCCTGAAAGTAAAGCAGGTTTAGCAATAAACAGCAGCAGATTGTTAAAGATGCTGGTCATGAAGGGGTTCAGTTATCGTTACTACAGAACTAAAAACCTAATTTCCTGTTTTTTGTTAAACTAATTTAAAGTTTTGCTTCTCAGCACCAATAAACCCCTGTTGGTCCACGTCTGAGTTCTGTTCTGCGTTTCTCCTGCGTTTCCAGTTCAGAACCGATAAACTGTTCAGAATCAGTGACTTAGCAATCGGCATTGGCAAATGAGGAGAGAACTGACTAGGGAATTCAGTTTTTAAAAATGACTGAATTCCCCAAATTTACTGATTTTATTGCCATAAAATTCCTGTTTAGCTTCTGATCAATAAATGAATTGGTTCATGTTGGAGAGATGAACTATGAACTTTCTGAACATTCTTTTTTATCTGATGAACTTCATATGGAACTGCTTCCTGTTAGAAGGAACTGGTTCAACAATGAACACTGGATCCATCCATCAGTTCATCCATTCATCTCTATCAGTAGAAACTTGTATTTTTATCTTCCTAGCAGTTACTGGGACCAGAACTTGGTGGACCAGCAGAACCCGACCAGACGCCTGAGACCCAAACGGACGGGACCACCTTCTCGCTGTTCTTGTATTTCTCCCAGCTCTTCAGCATCTTCAGCCACTTGGCGGTCCGCTCCACCTCCAGGTGTTTTTGCTGTGAAACAGGTGAGACGAGAATCACGTCTAACGGAAACTATTTGGTTTTCTGATGGAAACCAGAAAACATTTCAGCCTTTAATGAGTCATAAAAACAACCTGCTGCTTTAACTCGGCTGCTAAAGCAACAGGAAACCGTTTGGTCCTGTAAATGTAAACATGAAGGCGTCACCAACCTTCTCCTCCAGCGAGTCGTACGACGGCAGTTCGTTCTCACTGTGAGACAGCAAACAGAAATAATAAGCTGGCGTTTCCATGGTGATGCTGTTTGAATATTTCACTTTGACGCAGAGCGAGGGAATCAGACAAACAGGAAATAACAGATCGGACCTTTAATCTGGGTTAGTTTCCGTCCAGATAAAGCCATCAGAGCGTTTTGTTTCCAGAACTGAATAAAGAACATTTCAGGTTTTAACTCTACATGTCTGAAAACTGAAAACTCAGTTCTGTTCTGGTCTCCAGAACCAGCAGATCATCACCGACTGGACACTTCACTCTGGACTTCCAGCGACGTTGGTTCTGGTCCTCCAGAGTTTGGACTGCTGAGCAATGGTCCGGTTCTGGTTCTCCTCAGTCCAGGTAAGACGCTTGAAGCTCCTGGTCTGGATCAGCTTTTAATAGTCCATTAAATCCCTGACTGAATTCTGCAGTTATCCCTGTTGCTGGTGCACTTAGTTTTTCCTTCCACTCAACTTTCTATGCAGCTTATTCAGCCACAACCTTTTCTATCTGCCCCTCCTTGTGTCCAGTTGTCAGTTATCTCCATTATTTTCTCCTTTTCAGATTTAGATTCTGTAAATGATCAGGCTGCACTGTAAAAACAATACTTAGTATTTTTTCTCTTGTTTGTTGTGCAAATTTTCAATTTTCTTGAAGTAAGAAAATTAAATTAAAAGTAATTTCAGCAAGATAAGGGGAGTTTGTTTTAAGTCAATAATTCCTTAATTAAACAGTATTAGTGTCATTGGAACTAGGACTTTCTAAAATATATATATAAAATTATTGACTTAAATAAACGGTGTTGCTGAATAATTGCTTGTAGATTCATCCATCCATCCATCAGTGGGGTCGGGAGGGTTGCTGGTCCATGCAGAAGGACCGGGGCTGGGAATCGAACCCAGAACCTTCTTGCTGCAAGGCAACAGCTCTACCAACTGTGCCACTGTACAGCCCCTGCACAGCTCCTGCTTGTAGGTTCATTTTGTCTTTTTTAAAGTGTACCAACACATTTGGACTAAAAACTAGACCATAAATATTTGGTAAATTGTTTTTGCAGCAAGACAAGAAGTTTTATTCATGTTTAAACTGAATCATCTTTATTACATGAAACGTGTCTTAAAAACCATTAGCCATTGCGTGCAGCTTCTCCAGCCTTAATCGGTTTCCACCTCAGGTTTGGCTTGTAACTCGGAGTTGTTTCTTCTTCTCTTCTCTCCGTCTCCCACAGCGAGGTCTGGATCACGGCGCTCTGTCCCAACACTGCTGCACTGTGATTACGGCTAACCAGAACGTGTCCTGCCAGCGTGCGCCAGCCTATATATAAAACTTCAACACTGTGCTGTTTATGAGGAGCAGAAACCACAGACACTCTGAACTGCTGTGGACCAGACTAACCCAAACACAGCAGAAGGAGGGAGGTTCTTACTGGACAAATCCGAAACGGTCGATGACTTTGTAGAGGTGGAAGTTGGTGTCCTCCCAGGGCTCCACGGTGGCCTCTTTACCCTGGAGAACAGGAAAACAAACATCAGGAGCTGGGAACAAGCTGCTAATACTGCAACAGTTTCAATTCAAAACCAGTTTTGCTGCTAAATTATTGACTAAATAAAAATATGAGCTCAACAACAAAGATATTTATAATCTGTAATCTGTTCAACCATCAGACTGGAGCAAAGTGTTTCAGGAAGTCCTGAGCTTTCGAAAAGCTTCTTTAGAAATGTAGACACTAACATTAGCAACATGTTTAGCTTCACTAATGGGCAGATGCATTTACTCAAGTAACTATCATCTCCAGTCCTCCAGTATTGAGTAAAATGTCTGAGTTTTCTACCCACTGAAACTGATTGACACATTTTGGTCCTTAAAATATCAAAAATGAAATCATTGATAATTTGATCAGTTGCTCAGTACTTGCAGAATTTTTACCAAATACTTTTTTAATTTAACTTTAATAAAGATATGTTAAAGTAGTGCTACTCCTCTGCTGCTAGGCTAGCTCCTTTTAGCACAATAATAGCTTTGTAGCATCCAATCAGATCGATTAGAAACTGAACCCACTGAAGTCATTTTAAATCTCACATTTAGCATTTTTTGTTGCTATTTCAACAATTGAATTTTTTTGGGCTCTTCAAGGATGAAACCTTACTGGAGGAATTTTGCTGCTGATGCAATCTGCTGGATTTCCTTTGAAAACATTTTACTAATTGGAATAAAAAAACTAAACTTTATTGCTCTGAATTGGAATGCATGCAATTAATGCCAAAAATGTTGGTATGGAAGTCACTATTGATTTTATTTTTTTATTTTGTGTCATATATATACTACAATGCTGCAGAGCTGCTAAACTCCAACTATTAAATGAATCTGTTCTTCAGAGGACCAGTGAATAACAGGACCTGAATCCTGTAGAACAGCTACTGACGGCAGGAGCGGTCAGCACTTTGATGAAGGCTGTGACCGCTATGTCAACATCACAATGTTTGGGTCAATATGATACTGTCATAATGAAGTAGACATAAACAAGGAGATCAGACCAATGATTTACCACTGTATTATTAATTATGCCACACTGTTATTAAAGGTAATGATTGTCTTTTGTGTGACTTTAAGTCACCAGGCTCTGTGTCGTTAAATCTGTCTGAATGGGACATTACTACCAAAACAATGTGTTTAAAAAACTTCATGAAACAGGCAAAATATGAAGAAGTTAGTCACTATGAAAAGATTAGTTATATTAATTTGAATACATTATTAGTAATAACATGATATACAGAATAGTATGTCAAAATTATTAAACCTTTAGTCAGTTTAGTATAATGCTAAATTATTCATACTACTGATTCACCTTCATACTAAAGCATGAAGGTGAAAACATGAAACATGTAGTAATAGATTAGTATAACATCGAAAACATGAAAAATTTAGTCATAGTTTAATATGACTTGAAAAATTTAGTCAGATGTATGATGTCGAAAATATGAAAAATGTTGCCATGGTTTAGTATGACGTCGAAAACATTAAAAATTTAGTCATAGTTTAGTATGACGTCGAAAACATTAAAAATGTAGTCATAGTTTAGTATGACGTCGAAAATATTAAAAATTTTGCCATAGATTAGTATAATGCTGAAAACATGAAAAATTTACTCATAGTATAGAATGATGTCGAAAACATACAAAATTTATTCATAATTTAGTATGACATGGAAAATTTGAAAAATTTAGTCATAGTATAGTATGATGTCGAAGATGTGCAAAAATAAGTCACAGTATAGTATGACTTCAAAAATTGCAAAATTAGTCATAGTAATGACTAATTACTATGACTAATAGTAATTAGTCATAGTCATGTCAAATACTATAGTATTCGACATACTTTAGTATGTCGAATCATACTATAGTATGATGTCGAAAATGTGCAAAAATTAGTCATAGGTTACTATGACTTCAAAAATTGCAAAAATCAGTCATAGTATAGTTGTAAAAATTTTGCAAAAATTAGTCATACTATAGTGTGATGTCGAAAATGTGCATAAATTAGTCATAGTATAGTATGATGTCAAAAATGTGCAAAAATAAGTCATGGGTTACTATGACTTCAAAAATTGCAAAATTAGTCATAGTATAGTATGATGTCAAAACAGTGCAAAAATAGTCATAGGTTACTATGACTTCAAAAATTGCAAAATTAGTCATAGTATAATAGTATGATGT